ACTGGGCGCGTGCTCTACCACTGGGCTGCCCCACAGCCTTGGCCACCTTCTCTCAGAGAGCGATATCCTGTGGAGGGATTCCCTTGGGGGGGGGGGGAAACAGCAGCTTGGAATGGAGGGGTTAGGCCCCTGCCTGCATTAAGGTGCTTAATAAATTACATGGAATAGTTATCTTGAAAACTCCACCCCCACCATCTCCCTAACCTCAAATCTCCCCCATGGCTATGCTTTTTCACTTTTGTGGATCTCAGTTTTGCCCCATACTGCCTAGTGGGATTGTATTCATTCACGTTGTTTGTTTGTTTGTTTTGGTTTTTCGAGACGGGGTTTCTCTGTGTAGTCTTGGCTGTCCTGGACTTGCTTTAGAGTCCAGGCTGGCCTTGAACTTACAGCCATCCCGTGCCTGCCTCTGCCTCCCTGAGTGCTGGGATCAAAGGCATGCACCACCATTCATTCACTCTTTAAGATGGCTTCAGATATTCACTGTGGCATTCTGAATGTTTTTACAACCAAGAACAACCCCAGTACAGTAAAAGGTCTATTAATTAGTAGAATGGGGTAATTTATATGAATACATTTAATCTCAAAATTGAAATCATATTTAATAATTTTAACTTGCATAATTAAGTTGTGTTCTACAAAGAACAGAATCTCAAATGTTCTGTTTATTCTTCATTCTTCCATTGTGTTCTAGTAAGTACGTTCTCTCTCTCTCTCTTTTTCCTCCCTGTTTCTTATTATTCATGGATAACCAGTAAATATGCCTGCACCTGGTAGAGCAAGTGAAAGATGAGTGTCTTGTTTACGGAAACCACTGTTCAGAGTCCATGGATTTTATCTGGACTGGTGTGACTAACAGCTCAACCGTTTGCATCTCAGATGATAGCTGCTTCTCAGATCCTTGCTCTTACTGGAAAATGCAGTCAGTCTTGTGTTTGATGTATGTATGTTTCATGTGTGACTGTGTGTTATTTTGTTACAAGTATAAATGGCTATCAAGGCTTCTTCATGGTGCTCATTTTACTGATTTTCCAGAATGGAACTGCATGTACTCTGAATATGGAAGAAAATAATTTCTCCTCTCAGTAACGCTGTTCTTTTTTTCCCCCCTCAGCTTGACTGCTTTCTAATTATAGTTTGTGGCTGGCCATGTTGCAAGCTAAAACCAGTCCTATAGGAGCCCTTGCTTCTTTTCCCTTGAGCATGAGCTACAGGAACAGGTGAACAGCAACTGTGGAATTGCTTGAGTCAGCCCTGGATTTTCCATTGTTCTTCATCCCAGGCTTTATTTAGACATTTGGTTCCTATCTCTGCCTTACTTGTCCAAAGTTAAAAAACAAAACAAAACTTTTCATGATTTTTATTATATGACTTATGAGTTATTATTTTAATTCATATTCTAGAAAGACTTTGGTACTTTGCTGCAGGCTAACCAGCTCCTTCTTGGTAATTTAGGTTGTAAGTCTTTTTTTTTTTTTTTTTTTTTTTTTTTCCGCTTTGGCCTTCCATTTGAGTCTGTCTCTCTCTTTGCACCATTCAGCTTGTTTTTAAGACAAAGTCTCTCACTGAGACCCGGGGCTTGCCAAATAGATTAGGCCAGCTGGTCATTGAGTCCCAGGGATCCGACGAATCAACTATGAAAGTTCCCAGGCCTCTAACGAAAAGATAAGATTTGTTCAAGAGGATATACTTTCTGCATTGCCTGATTCTGCCTTTCTCAGATTAAATCTTGGAGCATGATGCCATGTGCTCTTAATCTCACCTCTTGGGAGGCTCAGGAGCTTAAGGTGAGCTCTAGCTAAACAGTAAGCTGCAGCTAACCTGTGCTGTATGAGACCCTGTCTGCACCAGCAAACAAAAATCAAAGCTGAGGTTGTACCAGGAGATATGGTACGACCCAGATGAAAATATAAAGTAAAATAATAACAAAGTAGAGAGAGGCTGGGTCACTCTGGGTGACTTGGAACCAGGAGGGAGGGAGGGCAAGCAGGCAGAACAGTCTGTGAGCTGGGTGTTGAGAGCTTGGAAGAGGTCAGATGGTTCAAACTGGCACATGGAGTACAGACAGCAGGAAGCCAAGGCAGAGGTAAAGAAGGAAAAGCCTCAAGGTGTTATATGACCTCAAATTCCAGCAATGCAATTAGAGAGATAATGAGAGCACTAAGCCTAGGCTTTGCACTGTGGAGCAGTTGATTTTATATTTTGTATTGTTCTATGTAGTTATTTTATTTTTCATCAGAAAATAATGTGCAAGTTACAAACCAGACCTGGTAGTACAGACCTGTAATCTCAGCTGCTAGGGAAGCCAAGGAGGAAGATAGAGTTGATGCTGAGACCAAACCAACCAATACCAACCAAACAAGATAAAACAAAACCGCCAGTGTGAGGATGTAGCTTAATGGCACAGCCGTTGCCTACCATGTACAAGACCCTGGGAGCAATACCCAGTAGCACACACACATCTATAGGAAGATCCGGGGTTATAGTTCAGTTGGCAAAATGCTTGCGTAACTTTCATGAAGCCCTGGCTGTGATGCCAAGCACCATACAAACTGGGCGTGGTGGCCCACATCTGTGTTCCTGGACTTGGGAGCTAGGGGCAGGAGGATCAAGACTTTAGGTCGTTCTCATCTACACATAAAGTCTGAGACTATGGTGAGGTATATAAGATCCTGTCTTAATGAGAGAGAGAAAAGGAAAAAGGGAGGGAAAAAAAGGAAATGTAAATTGAGGAGACATTTCTGCTTTAGGGTTATGTCACATACGTGAGATGGTAAGTCTATTTAACAGAGGGAATTGCTATCGTTGCTTTCATCCATTCAATAGATGTTAATATCGTGTTGTGCTACTAAATTGTAAGCCAGGTCTAGTAGTGCATGCCTGAATACTTCAGCTTTTTAATGATAGTTGTATATACCCCAACCTAGTAAAACATTGGCCACATAGGTTATTCCTAACAGCTCTTCATATGAATACCACCAATATGTACTTATCCCAGTCTTGGCAATTTTGTCTATTACCTTTGTATTCTCAGGCTTGAAGGGTCTCAGCGTTTTCAAGGGTTTTGAGAGAAATAGGCAACCGTTACTGTCGTACCAAGGATGGCGCCGGTGGAGGTGGATTCTCGGAAGACAAAAGAAGGAAGAAGCAGTTCGTTAGACACACTGTGGCACATCCGAAGAGGGCAAGGCAATAGAGAGCGAGCCCATCTGTAACAGCCATTCTGAGGGGCTGCTTTTACGCTGGGAAGGGACTTTCCACGCACGAAGTTGGGCGGTGATTCAATGTCACAGTGTCCCGGAGTAATTGCCGTTGAAGCTTATTGTGGTTAGCAACAGCCTGGCCTTGAGGCAGTAATGGTTTTGTCCCGAGTCAGAAGTGGCTCAGCACGAATAAATTGGCATCCATATTTTATAGCTGGGGCTTGTTGTGTTTTACCTTTTCTGAAAAGATGACAGTCCTGCTTGGAGGCAACAGAGGTTAGAGTAGCCCTGTTCTGTGGTGAGATAGGCCCAGAACAGCATTCACCAGTACTGTAGGCTACAGTATGTTTAAGCTCTATTACACTACTCTTACCATTGTTTAATTTTCTACCCCATCCCCTTTCGTTTTAAAGACAGAATCTCACTATGAAGTCCCGGCTTGGAAATCACATTGTAGACCAGGCTGTCCTGGTTAGGGTTAGGGCTAGGGTTAGGGTTAGGGTTAGAGATCCACTTGCCTCTGCCTCCTGAAAGCTGAGGTTAAAGGTGTGCACCACCACATCCAGAAATTCTTTCCTTTTTTTTTCTCTTTGTCGATAGCTTTAGCTTTTTCAAAGCAGTTTCACATTAATTCCAGCCCCCCAACAAGAGGAAACTTTCAGTAGCTACTCAAAATAGTTGGTGTTTCAGTGGGCAGAATCAGAGGTAAAATGTAAAGGGATATTCAGTTGGAAACAGTCGTGCACATCTGTAATTATATAGTTCTTGGGGGGCTGAGGTGGATCATTGGTTTGAGGCCAACCTGGGTGTCTTAGTTACTTTTCTGTAGCTATGATAAAGGTAAAAGCAACTTATAAAAGAAAATTTTTTTTCTTACAGTTTCAGAGGGAGAGGGTTAGGGGAAGAGTTGGGCTTCATAGAAAGCGTCTTTTCAGCCTCAGTAAGAAAGCTGCTCCAAAATGGAAGGTGGGTCCAAGGTGATTGGATTCTCTTATTCCAGGAGACACAAGTTACCCTGTGTTTTTTACAATATTTTTCGTTTGTTGTTTGCTTCTTTGTTTTGTGTTTACACTGTACAGTCCAAACAGAAATATGACAGTGGACAGGGTCTTGCTCATGGAGGCCATTGTATGATCTTTACCCTACATTTATTCATCATGGATAGATGAGTTCATTCATCCCTCATTCCTACTAAGCCTGATGTATTTAGTGCTAAAAAATTAAGAACAAAACATTGGTGTGCAGTAGTGTCCAGTGTTCTGCCTGTGTGTGTGCCTACATGCCAGAAGAGGGCACCAGATCTCATTATAGGTCGTTGTGAGCCACCATGTGGTTGCTGGGAATTGAACTTAGGACCTCTGGAAGAACAGCCATTGCTCTTCACCTCAGAGCCATCTCCCCAGCCCCAATTCCACCACTTTCTTTGATGCTGTAGTTGCTGCTGTTTATCGTCTTTTCTTCCCTTCTCTTCTTTTTCACCTTCTGTTTTTGTTTTGTTTTTGTTTGTTGGAGACAGAGTCTTACTATGTGGCTGATGCTTGCCTTGAACTCATGATCCTCCTGCCTCAGCCTCCCAAGTACTAGGATTGTATGGACCACGATAGCTGGCTCTAAGTGTCACAGTTTTCTAACCACTAAGGCTGTTTCTTTATTCAGAATCGGTCAGCCCTCTCTACATCACAGGTTCTGGCGTTGATGGAAGTACTTAGTAAGTACTTAATGGTTTTCACTCCTCTTCCCTTCTCTCCCCATGCTGTACCTGCTACTGAGCCACTCTTTCTTGGTTTCCCATCCCAGGTTCCTGAGCCCCTTCAACATGATCCTTGGAGGAATCATTGTGGTGCTGGTGTTCACGGGGTTCGTATGGGCAGCACACAATAAGGACATCCTCCGCCGGATGAAGAAGCAGTACCCCACGGCTTTCGTGATGGTGGTCATGCTAGCCAGCTACTTCCTCATATCCATGTTCGGGGGTGTCATGGTCTTTGTGTTCGGCATCACTTTCCCTTTGTTGTGTAAGTAAAACTGTTTTCTTTTTCTCACTTCATTCAAATAAGTGGAGGCTAGCCAGGTTCGGTGCACCTGCCTGTAATCCCAGCACCTAGGGAGGCAGAGGCAGTCGGATCTCTGAAAGTTTGAGACCAGTCTGGTCTACAAAGCAAGTCCAGGACAGCAAAGGCTACACAGAGAAACCTTGTCTCAAAAAACTAGGTAGATAGATAGATAGATAGATAGATAGATAGATAGATAGATAGATGGCTAGATAGATAGATAGACAGACAGACAGACAGATAGATAGATTGATAAATGTAGGCACAGTTGGCCAGTGGGCATTGTATAACCTCTTGGTTTATCTGGTACAAGTGTCAAAGTCTTCTAAAACAGCACATGAAAGCCTAGTAGTTGCTTATTTCCATCGGTCTAGGTAGGCACCTGCAATGTCAGGTTGCTCTTCTTACACAGGGACCAATAAACAAAACAAACGCAAATCCCAGTCACGGGGCAAGAACTGGTGCAGCTCAGTCTGCACGGTATCTGCATGACGCCTCACAGCCATCCATAACTCCTGTTGCGGGGGATCTCATCCATTCTTTGATCTCTGCAGGCACCAGGCACGCATGTGGTATGCCTGCGTACACACATACAGTGAAAACACTCACACACATAATAAGTAAACATATCTGAAAAAAAAAATAACTGGACCACAGTACAAGTACTATCATTCTGGTGAACTAGATATTTTTCTAAATAGCCTATTTTCTAAGACCTCAAACAATATGAAATGAAACAAAGATTCAATTCAGGTCTCAGAAGGTGGAAATCTAGCTGAAATGCTGGTGATGACAAGAGAATGTCCCTTTCCATTTGAAAATGTTTCACCTATGCGTGTGTTCTAGTAAATAAGATCATTTGCTTACTTGAGATCTTGTTCGACTGAACCCAGAATATTTACAAGTGAATCCTGAACCCAGAATATTTACAAATGAATCCTAAACTTTGTTACATACACTATTTCCACCACTGAATTTAAACCTTGGGAAATTTTCCCAACTAGAAGTTAGTGCTAGAGTGATTCCATTTAAACTGCTTGGTAACTGTGGTTCCCTTTCTGCTTAAGAGTCTGAGATGGGCCAGGGCCAGAGTCAGGAGCTCAGTTTCTCCTGCCAGGTTTACAGGAAACCAGAGTGTCATCTGTCATCCTAAGTGAGCTGCGTTCACTCATCTTTAAGACAAGGAAATTAAGATCAGTTATTCTCAAACTCTGTTACATGAGGATCATCTGTCCAGATATTTTTTTAAACTTTAATTTTTATTAATTACATTTTATTCACTTTGTATCCCCCTGTAGCTCCCTCTCTCCTCCCCTCTCAATCCCACCCTCCCTTCCCCTTCGCCACGCATGCCCCTCCCCAAGTCCACTGATAGGGGAGGTCTTCCTCTCCTTTCTTCTGATCCTAGCCTATCGGGTCTCATCAGGAGTGGCTGCACTGTCTTCCTCTGTGGCCTGGTAAGGTTGCAGACATTTTTTTTAAAAACATGTATTTCTAAGCCATATCTGTTGGAGAGCCTGTTTCTCGGTGTCAACAGTGGTATCCGAAGAGCCTGATGCTTAGAAAGTGGCTTGTATCTCTAAAGGTTGGAGTCAGTTAGGAACATCTAGTCTTCCTCTGAATTGTGCATAGGGTAGTGTGGGAATCTGCCTAAGATAGGTTCTTTTATTTATGTTTAGATTATGTACTGCATTTGTGTATGTATATGTGTACATGTGTTTCCCCATGTGTGTAAGGGTGAGCAGGCCCAGGGTTGACATCAGGTGTCTTCCTTCATTGCTCTCTATTTACTGAGGCAGGGTCTCTTGATGAGCCAATTGGCTGCTCTATCTAGCTGGCCTGATAGGATCCCCTATTTCTTCCTTCTAAGTGCTGGGGTTGAAGGCTGGCTGCCATGCCTACCTGGCTTTTATATTGGTCCTGGAGACCCAAACTCCAGTTCTCACACATTGTGTACTGAGGCATTTTCCTGGCCCTATTTTTTTAATTTTTAAAAATTGCATTTATCCATCCATCCATCCATCCATCCATCTATCCATCTATCTTTCCCAGGAAACTATGGAGGTAAGAGGACAACTCCTTCCAGCATGTGGTTTCTGGAGATCAAACTGAGGTCACCAGGCTTGGAGGCAGGCACTTTTACCCACTGAGCCCTCTCCCCATCTCCCCAGCCCTCTTTAACCAGCTCTTATGAAAAATGACTGTTAGAGATCACACAGAGTGTCTTGAAATACAGATTTTCTAGCCCATTCCCTTAAGGTTCTGGGACAAGAGGTCCATGAAGAGAGACCATGGAATCTGTTTCATAATGAATAAAGTCAGGTCATTTCTGCTGACGCTTTAGAAAATATGCCTCTTTAAAATGAGTGGGTTTTACCTGGATTCTGGCATTCAGGGAATGTAGTACAGATAAACCCAGAATGCACAAACTGTCCTTCCTGGGAAGCCTTGGGTAAGTGGATTCATGTTCAGGTTGGAATCACGTTAGTGGACAATTATGTTGTTTAAACATAATTTTTAAGTCATGTTTTTTAAGTAACATTTGCAAGGTGGGGATTTCAGTAGGGAAGAAAGAATTCGGAAGATCAGGAGTCTTTCAAGGGAGTACCATGTTCTCTTCTACACGATATGTATTTGGTTTAACAAGCAGTTTTATATAAACTCTGTGTACCCATCTGAAGGCCTGGATCAGCAAGGCAAGCAGAATTGATAGCTAAAAGAGATGGTTTACTATATGTGTGAAGAATGAGAAGGAGTACTATGTTGATGTGAAAAGGGGAATTCTTGGGCTGGGGAGACGGCTCAGAATTTAAGAGTACAGACGACCCAAATTTGGTTCTCCATATCTATATTTGTTTCTCCATATCCAGCCCCAAGAGACCTGATGCCTTTGGCTTCTGCAGGCACCTACACTCATGTCCATAAACCCACAGACACAGACATATATACATGTAATTAAAAAACAATAGAAATTTTAGTTTTTTACATAACTAAAAACAAAAACAAGTAAAGTGAATTCTTGCTTTGATGTTGTCATTTCTTTCAGTGATGTTCATCCACGCGTCCCTGAGACTTCGAAACCTCAAGAACAAGCTGGAAAATAAAATGGAGGGAATAGGTTTGAAGAAAACTCCAATGGGCATTATCCTGGATGCCTTGGAACAGCAGGAAGAAAGCATCAACAAATTTGCTGACTACATCAGCAAAGCTAGGGAGTAAATGCAGCTTGCCTGGTAACAGGGCGCAGCAGGAACCCAGTTGCACTTTTCCCTTGTTCAGACCCATTTTCTGTCTGTGGTTTTGAAACAGAAGGTGCATGTCTTAGCACCCAACTATCTAAGGCATCATGCATGCACAGGCCCACCTTTTAAGATCTTCGCCATGACCCAAGGAAGGCCTCAGACACTGCAAAAGATACAGACCCACTCTCCCATTACGTCTGAAGTTTCCAGTGTGTTTTTGAAAAAGAATGTGGACTGGGCAGCAACAGCTCTATTCTATGGTAGGGAAGACGTCACCTTAGAGCCTGGAGGCAATACCAAGGAAATGAAAAGTCAGTTAAAGCAGAGGATGTCATGTGTCAGCCTGTTTCCAATCCTGTCGGACATCCCCTCCAACATCCCTAAGACTATGATGTGTCAGGTGTGGTAGTTTAGTGGTATTATCCTTGTTGTTTTAAATCCAGAGACGATCGCCATCACTTTGGCACCTGTTTGATGTGCAGTGGAAACTGGATCAGCCAGCTGTTTATATTTTGTTTACGAATATGAAGGTAGCTGTTTAGGACAATGTTTTGTTAAATTTTTGTAAACTTTTTAAGACGGTAGTAATATGCTTTCACCAGCAGGTGTTTCTTGCAAACTAAACGTCATCCTCCTGGGGTAAGGGTGGGGAGGGGTGGCTACAACTCTGTAACTTCTGTTATTCTTGACTTGTTAAAAAAAAATAATAAAACCAAACTTGAGTTCTGTTTATATGACACATTTTTATTACTGCAATAAAATGGTGTCCAAGGTAATGTTTACATTGTTTAGGTTTTTTACAGATTCATTTTTATTATTTGTGTGTGTATGTATGAGAGAGAAAGAGACAGAGGCTGAAGAGAGCATTGGACCCTGGACCTGGCATTACAGTTGGTTGTGAGCTGCCTTGTGTGGGTTCTGGGAACTGAACTGAGGCCCTCTGAGAGAGCAGAAAGTGCTTGTAACCTCTGAGGCGCCTCTCCAGACCCAGTCCTTTGGTTTTTAAACAGATGAGAGCATTTAGAAAGAAAGAAATGGGTGTGTATTTTATCAAATTCTTATGAGCTCAGAGAGGACAACTGTTGATCTTCTGAATGTGCAAAGCTTCGCTTGAGGACCAAGCCAAAAGAGTTTAAACAGCTCCTATAACTCAGGAAGTTGCAGACAACTGTGCCAGCATTTTAGCATTAGGGTTAGGATGGTGTGAACATATGTATTTCATTACAGTCACCCCCTTATTGCTCATATATTTAGAAATAGATTATGAGAGATGGGTATTTGCCAATTTAATGATTTCATAGGTGAAACAGAACACAGTTAGGTTTTCCTAACACTGAAAAGATAACTGGTGTAGCCTTTCCAAAGAGTTCCTCTTCGTGTTCTAAATATAATCCATGCCCACTGTGGCAGCTTTGATGTCTTCTGTTTACTCTCAGCCAATCTGAAGCTTTACCCTTACCCAGAGCTTCGGACAGGGTTTAGAATCTGTACCATTACCCAAACAGAAAGAATAAAATCTATCAAAAGCATTTCAGTGAGACTTTATTCAATACATTTATCCAATACATATCAAGAAACTCGGTAATAGTTTAAGAGAAAAAAAAAACCTAAAAAACTTAATACTTCTATCTTATATTTGGAAAGCTGTTTAATAAAACACCTTAATAGGTATTTATTTGAAGCCAGAAAAACAACTGAAGTCTGACAGAACCTTTTAAACCTGCCATGAGTTTTATACACATTTAAACCCCTTCTATTTTCTTTCTTTACAGTGTTTTTTTGTGTGTAACAGCCCTGACTCTTCTGGCACTCACTTTGAGGGCCAGGCTGGCTTTGAACTCACAGAGATCCACCGGCCTCTCCCTCCAGAGTGCTGGAGCTAAAGGTGTGTGTCAGCACACCTGGCTCATAAATCCCTTCCATTTTCAAGAGATATTCTGACACAAGTGCCATGAATTTGTAGGAAGTGATAGCTTTAATTTCTTTAAAGATATTCACTGCAATGTCTAACAGCCGGTGATCAGGTCTGAGAAGATGACATCTTGGTTTCTTTTCCTGATGCTGAGATAAAATACTCTGAGAACTAAAAGAGAATAGGGCAGAAAAGACCAATTATTAGATACTGACTTACTGGTTTATTTAGTGGTTTACCTAAAGTACTGCTTGTACTGGCTACTTGATTTTGGACCAAGCATGATTTTGGACCTGGAGAAAAAGCTGAAACAATGGGTGTGTGCCCTCACCAAGCTGCTGACTGGCACTTCTGTAAAATCTTACTTGCTTGCTTGCCTGTCCTTCCTTGCAGTTTCAGAGCAGTGTTTCTCAACCTCCCTAGTGCCACGACTCTTTTTTAATAAAGTTCTTCACGTGGTGGTGACCCCCCCCCCCTTCTGCTACCGTTGCGAATCGTAATGTGAATATCTGCCATGAAAGCTGACCCCTGTGAAGAAGTCTCTGCTTTAGAGCATAACATGAGACTACACACTGCACCCAGGACTGAGACCTTTCAGGAGCTGTTGTGGCTTTGTTCCACCTGTGTTTACATAATACAGAATTAGCTCATTCAGTTTTAATCAATCAGAGGGGTTTTGAAGAGACTCAGATTAAGTGTGTTTGTGTGTGTGAAACCTAAAACCTTGCCAATAATTGCATTGTCACCCGCACCTTTTCACCTGTAAAACAGTATGTTGTATGTAGCTGTCCCTGAGTCTGCAGTCACTCCAGGGAACTTTGTTCTCCGAGACTGCAACATGATTTACTCCCTTAAACATGCTATGGAGGGAATGGCAACAAAGGAGATGGGAGAAGAAAAAAAGGGAGTTGGTGCATAATCAACACTTTACACTTCCATCGTATTTATTGATTTTTTTTTCCAGAAGAAAGCAATAGCAAAGAGGGTGTGGGGGGGGGGGGGGGGGGGAGTTTTCTTCTGCTTCTAGAAGCATCCCTCTACAATTTTCACCCAAGGCAACCAAACCCTTAGAACAGGAACATGTTGCCTATGAACAAAGATACTCTGTATCCTTCCCTTCCTCTTTTGCCTGTGTCTTGTCACGGCCCAATCCATGCCCAGCCTGGATGGAACCACGTTCCCACTTCCGTCACTCAAAGTGTCAGTGAACCAGCCTGCAGCGCAGATCTTGCTCTTCTAGATGATTCTGTTGCCTCCTATGCCAGCTCCTTTGGCAGCTGCACCTGTGGTTTAAGCATTTGAAGAAGAGAAAATGAGTCCTGGAAATTTAGGAGCGGTGAAGCAAAAAGCGTAAAACTTACACGTCTTGGTGGATGCAGAAGGCGCTAGAAACGTTGGCTGCAGAACTCCCCAAATCATGATATAGGCAAATGAACCAAAGCCTCTGTTATTGGGTGTTGGGCAGCTCGTTTGAAGGTCCGTGAGCTTGTAGGGAAACGGGTCACAGAAACAATGAGAGCCTGAAGCCTGGCACTGGCAGTTACTAGCTGCTCGGTGGGTACTAAATGTTACTTTCCTCAGCTATAAAATGACAGTAAGACTTCCCAGCCCATACTGTAGAAGATCAAGTTACATAATAGCAGTGAGAGATAATGGGGACAGTTACTTTCAAATATTTTTATTTCACTGTGTCTTGCACAAGCCTTAGCAAGGAGAAGGGCTCAGAGTAGACAGTGACTTCCCTGAGGCCACATCCCTAGAACTGCTGGAAAGATGGCTCAGCTGTTAAAGACATCTCTTGCCGAGGACCAGAATTCATTTCTCAGACCCCACATTAGGTAGCTCACAACTGTCTGTAACTCTAGCTGCAAAGGATCTGAAACCCTCTTTTGGCCTCTCCAGTAACCCACAGTCACATGCACCTACCCACACACAAGCATTGACATATTAAAAATTACATGTGTTCTGCGGGCTGAGGAGATAGCTTTGTTCTTGTGTGGCAAATGAGTTAGAGCTCCACAAGCCACATTAAAAAACAAACAAACAAACAACAACAACAACAACAAAAAAAAAAACAAAAAAAAAAAAAAAAAAACGGTGATGGCACCCGTTCCTTGTCTCTGCACTGGAGAGGAAGACAGGGTGACCTCAGAGCTCACTGGCCAGCCACCTAGCCTACTTATCCAGCTTATCAGGTAAGTGATTGGCCCTGTTTTCACAAAACAAGGTGACTAGCACCCAAGTAATGATGCTTGAGGTTGACCTCTGACATAAAAATGTACTTAAAGGCGCACATGTCCTTGAAGCACATTTCTAATATAATGTTCAGCAAATTTTTAAAAAAGATTTATTAATTTATTATGTATACAGTATTCTGCCTGCATGCCAGAAGAGGGTCCCAGATCTCGTTATAGGTGGTTGTGAGCCACTATGTGGTTGCTGGGAATTGAACTCCGGACCTCTGGAAGAGCAGCCAACAGAACCACTCTTAACCTCTGCGCCATAGCCCCTGCCCAAGTTCACTAAAATTTAGAAATAGAATATATTTTTCAAAAAAAAAAAGTAAAAATAAATAAATAAATAAAAATAAACTATATTTAGGTAAACTTCACAAGGGCCAAACAAACAAACTACAAAAGAGTCACCTCAGCCAACTCTAAAATCCACATTCAGCTTCAGCTGCATAGCAACAGCTTAAAGTCTAGTCAGCTCTGAAAGGGTTTTAAGCGGTGCTCTCACTTAGGAGGTGACTTGTCCATCATATGTGCATTTTTCAGAAGATGCTGACGGTGTTAAGATGTGGAGAGTTTGCTAACAGCTGAGCGCATTTTCCCCCCCCCCCCCCCCCCACCCACTTGCACCTGTCAGCGGGATGAGCCTCTGCAATCTGCTGGGGCTCCTCTCTTGGTCAGTTCTTTGTCCTTGCTCTCTGGAGAGGAATGCTTCCCAGTGCCCTGCCCTCCAGAGGGGACATGTGATCTCCCTTCAGGCCGAGGGAGTCCCCATGTGCCTCTGACCCTCTCCGCCTCTGGTAAAGGACTTTGAGAAGAAGGGGGTGGCTGTGCCTGGGTCGGCTTTACCCAGGAAAACACCGATAATTAAGAGCAATGGGCAACAGAAACATGGGTGGAGTGGTTTAAATAATATGTAAACCTGAAACAAAATAGCTAAAACAAGTGTGATGTTTGTATGTTTATATATACAGGTGGAGGCTCTAAAATGATATTTAAGAGAAGCAAAATGTGGGGCTACAGAGATGGATCCGCAGTTAAGAGCACCTATTGGCTGAGCAGAAAACCCAGGTTTGGTTCCCAGCAACCACATGGTAGCTGTCGGCCATCATAACTCCAGTTCCAGGGGATCTGATGCCCTCTTAGGACCTCTACAGGCAACGCATGGTGTGCATATGAGCATGCAGGCAAACATGCACACACACAGAATAAAAGGAAATAAGAAGTCAAAGCAAAATGTTGCATCGGCTCACCCTAGGAACCAGACCCATAATACCAGGTTCCAAATAGGACCAAACTGGTAGCTCAGACCATGGGACAAAGGTCTGAGTCACTGAACAATCGTTAACTGTTTGGAATGATAGATCAGAAATCTTGCATCATGATTATTTTCTAAAATTTAACCCTTTAACTCGTCCACGGCAGCAAACATCTTGTGAGAAACCTGGGCATTTAAAGTTTCGAAAAAAGAAGACGTGTTAAGTAGACATCGGGGACACCATTTCTCAGCAGAGCAAGCAGAAACCAAGACGGCTAGATGTGATGTTACCAAAAGTCAACCTTGATCTGGGTACAGTAGCACACACCTGCAAGCTCAGGACTTGAGAGATGGAGAGAGAAGGAACAGGAACAGGAGTTCTGCCTTGGCTACATAAGATGCTGTCCCCAAACGACAACAAATACGACAAGTTTTAAAGGTTAAAATATCAAAATAACAAACAGGAGAAAATCGATTCCTGCTATTATTGGGCTTTCTTTTCTGCTTGTCAGTTTAGTTATTTTTTAAGTGTACTTGGGACATGCGAGCACATGCATGTAGAGTGTGCGTGTGCACACACACACACAAATACTAGAGAATGTAAGATTTATTTTAGTGGTGGTGGTTATTTACAACATTATCTTGAATTTGGCTGTGAACCAACACTTCAGTGTGTATCCAGAATAGAAAGAGACATGCATTAAGGAACCTGAGAGATGAACAGTGTGTCCAGAAGGGCCCTGACCCTAATGTAGATTGTGATAGGTGTTAGAAAAGAAGATACCAATAAAGGTACTATATAGAACAGGTACTATTGCTGGCTTGATTTATGTCTAGGAAGCGGTATTCGAGATATGACTTGGAAACTGTATTGACTCCAAAGGGTAGAAGAAAAGATCATTTGAGGCTATAGTGCCCCAAAGATGCTGTGATATCCTGGTCATCAAAATATGATCCCTCAAAGAAGCAGCATCAACCCTCACTGGGGAGTTGGTCAGAAGGGAGAAATCCCCATCTGTGACTTTCTGAACCAGAGACCTGCGGAAGAGCCCGGGAATGCAAAGGAAATGCTGGCAACCACTACATAGATTTTAGAAAAACTGTGTATAAAAACCCATTCCCTACGAATATTAGAGGAAGGCTTTGGCTTTTGCCCACTCTTCTGATTCCATCTATGTTGCCGTCTTTGCTACCTTGTGGGTTTTTTTCCCCACCCTTCATACCCCCAGTTTCAGCCCCTAACACTACATAAAAGAGAAAGAAGGTTAGAGGGGAGAAAGACAGAGAGGTCAGTGAATCTAATTTCTTTCTTTTAGCATGACTGCCAACTAACCACAACCAAGCTTCCAAAAACCACCAACCCCAACTCTCGGGGGCCCTAGCATTTATATACTCTCTGAAAAGTTCCCAGAATTCCAAACGCAGACGCCATACAATCACAGAAATTATCGGCAGCTGGCAAAAAATATGCTTCTGCTAGAGCACGAGGCAAATCATCATCAGCTGCTGCAGACAGACTAAAAGCGGCCTGGTCTGGGAACAGACAGAAGAAAGACACTTAGAGAACCCTAGATTATCCAAAGGGGACGAGAAGTTGGTGGGGGCAGAGGGCTGGCCTTGATTATATCTTACTGACACAAGAAGAGAAAGAAATTTGTAAAAGAACAGAAACCAGAGAACCTGGAGAAAAAGAAAGACGACTTTATAAATAAAGCCAAGTGCGGGCGAGGATGGCTCTTGGATCAATCTTCTTAAACTCTGCAGCTCCTGGTGTGCCACAGAGGCGCTGGTGTGAGCCAGGGCTACCAAACTCAAGGCTTTGTAGAGGGGAGGCTTGGCGATGCTGATCCATTACTGACTGGGCTGGGAGTGGTCTAGGCTTGTGGGTGAGCCCTGTGTGAAGTGGAATGAGTGTTCCAGTCACCTTGATGGTACAAGAACTTGGCTTTGCTCCACATGCATTTAGCCACAGCGAAAAGAAGCAGCTGCTGAGAATGGGAATCTTATCTCAGCGAAAGGTACAAAGGTTTCTCTGGAATGGCAGTTGGTAAACGAATCACAACAATTTTTAAATAGGTTAAAGAAAACCGTGCCTTTGTGCTGGCATCAGAGTGACTGACAGTAATTAACTTGAAGAGAGGTGAGCTGGTTTTTAATCTAAGCAATACATTTTCTTGGACAAGACATTAAAACAAAAGCAAACTAAAAACTTCTTCAGGAAACAAATGTGAATGAAACAAGGTGACTGGCGGGTAGCCAGTCTGAGAAAAACTGGAGAGGCCATTACCCAGCCCCACAAGAGAGGCCCACAGTGCAGAACTGGCTGGAGAGCATTTGCCTAGTGTGTGCAAAGCTCGGGAGTTCAATACACACACACACCACTTGTGCCATGCACATGCAAAGTTTGCATGTCTCGGTCTAATATTTCAGTGGTGCCAAATATTTGTGTGTTTTCTTTTGTTTGTTCTTTTAGTGTGGGCTCTAGGGATTGAACCCAAATGGTCCCAGTTATGCAGCAATCTTACCTGTGACTGAGCCATCTTCCCAACCGAGCCGTGGAGGAGTGCTGCTCACTGGCTTGCTCTCCAAGGCTCGTTCAGTCTGCTTTTTGATACAACCCAGGACCACCTGCTCAGGGGTGGCACCACCCACAGTGGGCTCAGACCTCCCACGTCAGTCTAATCATTGATCAAGAAAATGACCCGCAGGCTTGCCCTCAGGTCAGTATGGTGGGAGCATTTTCTCAACTGAGGTTCTTCCCTTTTTTCAAATGACTCTAGCTTGTGTCAAGTTGACAAAACCAACCAGGACAGGGACCTACAAGGTATTAAAATTTGTGTATTAATTTCCACCTCACGGTTGCACCCATGCTCCAAATCCACAATTCCTTTCATCTTTCTCCTCTATAAAATGAACCTGGCTAGGTCTCATCTGACTGACCAAAGACATGCACTTTGCGCGGGCGGTCGTGACATTGCTACTTGCTGGGGTTTACGGCATTTCTCTGAGCCTAAGATGCAGCTTTGTGATACTTCAGTTCCTCTGGTATGAGGAAGCACCTTGCGGCTGAAGGTGTTTACAGCCGCCGGCCCCAGGCAGGGCACATGCTGCCATCACCTCCAATGAGCCATGTGCCTTGGGCTCACTCCCGCACAGCTGCACTGAAATTTAAATAATGACAGCAAATGGGGAGAAGGTGACGGGCAGAGGGAAGAAGACTTTGTGCTGGTTTTGAGCATCTGTCAATCTAATATTGTGTCAAAAGACAGGCTAAAAACCAAAGGAAAGAGAAAAGAGAAAAAAAAAAACTTTGGAAAGATTGCTCTATGATCTGGTCTTAAAGCAGACATTTATCCTGTGGGAAACAGAACACAGAGCAATGGGAGTGATCGGAGTCATGTGTTTTCACATTATCCTCATAGAGTACTTTATAGGATTAAATAGAAGAAGTCACGGGGACTAGCTGAGATACATGCAAAAGGAGCCGCTGCGGCCCCATCCCAGGCAACTGAAGGCAAAGGGAGCTGTCAGCAAACAGACGGGGCAAAGCCATTTCAAGGCAGAGGTCAATAAGCAAGGCTACCATTCTAAAAGGGTTTCCCTTCTTAGCTGGCTGTGCAAGCATGAGGACCTAAGTTGAGATTCCCAGGACCTACATAAAATGGCGGTTGTGAAGGTGCATTGCCTGTAGCCCCAGTGCTGGGGGGAGGGAGGGCATAAATAGGCAGATCCTGGGGGTGAGGGTGGGGTTATTGGCCCGATAGTCTAGCGAAAATAGTAAGGTCCACATTCAATGAGATGAATCTCAAAAAAAACCTGAGGTTGGGAGGAGGCTGGAGAGTTGACTCAGTGGTTAAGAACACTTGCTGCTCTTTCAGAGGACCCAGGTTGATTTCCCAGCACCCACAGCAGGTGGGTCACAACTGTCTAGAGCTCCAGTTTCAGCAGATCAGGAGCCCTCTCCTGTTCTCTGAGGGTATCGGGCTTTGAGTGGTGCACAGACATACATGCAGGCAAAACACTCAAACACATAAGATAAAAGATAAGCAACAAGGGTGGAGAACAATTGAGAAAGAACCTGATATTCATCTCCGGCCTCCACATGGGCATGCATAGGCAAGATCTCCTGCATATGTACGTACACACATGCACACACACACACACACACACACACACACACACACAGGAAGACCAAACACATTTCAAATGGATAGCATTACAAAACCAATGAGCACCTTCCTATTTCATGGGATATTGTTTGTTTGTGTTTTTGAGACAGGGTTTCTTTGTGTAGCCTTGGCTGTTACTGGACTCGCTTTGCAGACCAGGCTGGCCTCGAACTCACAGCGATCCGCCTGCCTCTCCCTCCCTGAGGGCTGGGATCAAATGTGTGGGACACGGTGCCCGGCTTCATAGGATATTTACTCTTACAGCTATCAGCATGAATTTATTTTCATGTTTTTTTACTCTTGGTTTTAAACCTAACACTGCCACACCCGCAGTTACATAAAACGAAGAGAATCTTGGTCCTGAAAAGCTGTTGAGCTTGTACTCAATTTAGACACTGGAATCTGCCGTCCCTTCTTACATAACCGACAGGAGCAGTTACTGCGATAAGAGTCAGTGAATGGATGGAATGGGATGGTCTCGATGGAGCGCTCGCTCCTATCCTGGGGTAGGAGGTTTGCTCAGATGGTCACGTGAACTCCTCTCCCTTTAACGTGAATTTTTAAAATTCTTGTTCCTTTTAGCATATTATTTTCTGACTGTATAGCACCAAGACAGCTCGACTAATGTCCACTCGTGACTTCAAAGGGACAGCTTTCACAGACAGCGCCCTTACCTACGCCAGCAGAGGTCTGGCTGTCCCAGGAAGAGCAGGTGCAGACAGGCTTCTGCCCTGCCCAAAGGCAAGCAGAGGACCTCTGCCTGACCTCTTGTGACTTCTGGCATTCTCCCCTGACACCTGTCCTAGGACCAATCCAGCTCACTCCAAATCACAGATAAAAAAACATCTTGGGTGCAGAAAATAGGACTATGACACTACATTTCCAGGAGATGGGAATTCAAGACATTCTTATACACATATGTAAATAATAGCAGTCACCTTAAGATTAGAAAGCTCAGTAAAGCTGAAAAAAGAAAAAAAAAAAAACCCACAGACTGGCATGGGTATTTGTTTTCCATATCCTGAATAAAAAAAGAGAGAACCTCTATAATGAATTAAATTGACTGTGTTGTGTTATATGTGTGTGTGTATTGACAGTCAAGCATCAACCAATATGGCCCTATATAGACATCAATTCTTCGACTAGCACTGTAATAAATGACAAAAAAAAATTCATATCTACAACCTAAGCTCAGGGAATAAAGCCAGCTCCCCAGTCAGCTTTAGCCCAGGCTTTTATAGAGACTCCGTGAATATTAAAACTGAAATAATTTTCCGTGAGACATTTTAAACTCCACTGGCTCTTGAGGATGGTAACCTGAGGTTTGCCTTTTGTCTGGCTGCCTAACAAGCAAACAGAAATGTATTGCAGGTGGTCTAGCTTCGTCTGCTGATAAAGAAACGAGTCTGTGAAGCCTTTATTCTAGATACTCACAAACGTGGCTTAATTGGTTTTTGTTTTCTCTCATTTGATACTTCAAGGAGGCCCCTGGGGTCTCTAATTCTCAGCTCTATGTGCCCAGAATGGTCTAATTTTGCACATGCACATCAAGGATTCAAAATAGCTCGCTAAATCAAAATTTGACACCTTAGGACTCAGTTTTAACCTCAGTGCTACCACTTCCTGGTGGCATCCGCTAGACATGCTATTAACTTCCCAAAGCACCAGTCTCCCCTTCACAAAATGGGGAGAATAATTTCGACAGCCTTCAAGAGTTCGCGTGATCATGCGAGTCAGTTAGCTTACCCAAGCGCTTAATAGAACATAGCTGCAAGTATTATTGTCACAGGGCGTACCTCCGTCTTTACGAGTAAATAGTAATTTAATTCTACTGTTGTTGCTTCTCTGCCTATCGATAGCCAAGATCCCGGTGTCAGACTAAAGGGGACAGAGGTGGAAATACAGCTCATTTGCCAGGGCACTTGCCCAGCATGCACAAAGCCCTGACTGAGTTCGATCCCCAGCACCACATAAACCAGACAGGATGGGGTACACCAACCCTGAGCTACCTAGCAGCGTGAAATAGATGAGAGCCTGTCCCCAGAATAAAATATAGTATAAACAAGAGGGAGAGAGGGACTGGAACTGAAAAATGTTCATCATTTCCCCCTCTTCTGACTTACAGGTTTTAGGTAGGCCACATTGCTGTGTCGGATGTCATTCAGGAGCTGGTCTCTGGGAGTGATTTCCACCAGCGGGGGTGGCCTGTTTCTCGGCACTGGCTTGAGGGTTTTGATTACATCTTTGAGGTTGGTTTTCTCCTGCGCCTCTCTGGCTTCCGGCATTCGAGATTTGCGCTGAATTCTCTTCAGCTTCACCACCCGGAAGGAGTCTGGGTCGGTCTTGCACTGTGGAGGCTGGGGCGGGTGTTTGATCATTTCCTTCCTTCCACCAAAGGGGACTTCCTGAGAAGGGAGGGGCCGCCCAGGTGAAGGCTGGAAGAACTCCTGCATCCTGGGGTCAGGCATGGGTCCTCCCAACCTCTCCCACATCCCAGGCGGCAGCCCCAACCCATTCTCCAACATAGCTATGAGCTTTCTCTGCTCTTTAAGTTGCTGCTGCTGCTGCTCCTCTTTTCTTTTCTGCCTCCGTTTATCCTGGTTCCTGGTAAGCAGATTAGTTACCACCATTCTGGGACCCGGAAGCTCGAAATGGTAGCCCATCTTCAACAGAGTGTTGTTGGCCTTCAGGAGCCTTGATATTTCCATCTCGGCGTGGTGGCCCAGCATATGCCTCTGGTTGTGAAACCTAAGTTCAGTGAGCGTTTCGTTGAACTGGAGGCACCTCATGATGGCCACGATGCCCTTCCCTGTGATGAAGTTCGACTCAATATTGAGCGTTGTGATGCTCCGGTTTTCTCGCAACATGTTGGCCAAGGCGAATGCTATGCTCTCGTCTGCACCGACATTGGCCAAACTGAAGCTTTTGATGTGCTTGTTTTTCTTCATCGCATTGACAAAGTCCAGTAACATTTCTTTAGGGATATTTTCGATGTTGTTCAGGTTGAGTTCCTTCATGTCGGGATCGTTCTGTCTCACTCGTCTCAAGCTTCCATCCAGGTCTGTCTGGTTCCCTGAAGGCCTTGCACTGACCTTCAGAAAACTGGTATCTAGAGCTAACTTCTTAGGGTCTAATTTGGCTATTTTCTTTTCACTTTTTTCGTTGGTCTCTGCTGCATCTTTTTGCTCTTCCAGCACTTTATTAGTTGGCTGCTGGCACTTGCCTATACTGTTGTGGATTTGTTCCTTTGCTTCATTGTTTTCTCGTTTGCCTTGTCCATCGTCTTGGTCCTCTTCATCCTCCTCATCTTCATCCTCCTCATCTTCATCCTCTTCATCGTCATCCTCTTCATCTTCTTCACCTTCATCATTATCTTCTGTTTCTTGTGCATTGTTGCTCCCATGTGATTCCCTTTTATTTGTGACTATTTCACTATTGAGCTTTTCCTTTAAAAACTGGGGCATGTTTTTAATCCCTTTGTCTCTTACTTCAAGCTGTTTTTGAGTGTTTTCCTAAAAGATAGATTTACAAATAGTTAGAATAGATAGCAGTGAAAAAATACAAAATACAACAATGTCTACTGGAGTTTAGAATATTTTTAGGGGCTGAAGAGATGGCTCAGAAGTTAAGAGTGTCTGCTGCTCTTCCACGGGACCTGAGTTTGTTTCTCTGCACCCAGGAGTGGCTGCTTGTAGCTGCTTCTGGCCTCCTCAGGCACCATACTCAAATACACTAAGACTAACTTGACACTGCACAGGCACACACACAATTAAAAATTTAAAAAAATCTCTAAAATATATTTTTAGGGCTGGGGAAATGGTTCAGTGGGTAAAGTACTTGCTGCAGAAGCGTCAGGATCGGAGGACCGGAGTTCAAATCTCCAGCACCCACGTAAAGTAAGGCGAAAGATGGGAGATGGAGAAAGAAGAATCTCTGAAGGCTCATGGGCCAGCTGGCCTGGCATATGCAGTGGTGATTAAGAGACTCTGCCTCAAACAAGGTGAATGCTGAGGACCGACAGGTTGACTTCTCTCTCTCTTTCTTTTTCTTTCCCTTTCTTTCTTTCTTTCTTTCTTTCTTTCTTTCTTTCTTTCCTTTCTTTCTTTCTCTCTCTCTCTCTCTCTCTCTCACTCACTCACTTATACACACAAACTTGCACACATAGACACACAAAAGATTTTATAAAATTGTAAGCGAAGCCAGGAGGCATGATGGCACCACTTTTAACTTCATCACTCTAGATGCAGAGGCAGGCAGATCTCTGGGTTTTGGGCCAGTCTGGTCTAAATAATGAGTCCCTACCTACCCAGGCCTACATAGAGAAACCCTGTCTCAAAAACAAAACAAAACCTTAAGTGAAAAAAAAAAATGTAAGGAAAAACACTCAGGCTAGTAAATCTTAAGTATAATATTATTCCATGTATGTATATGTATACATACAGATTTACATATGTATAGGAAAAAAAAAAACTTCTGGAAGTGTTACCAAATTCCTGTTGTGTTTTTTGTTTTCTGAATCAGGAAGGTCACCCCTGGAACAAATGAAGAAGGATCAGCTGGACACGACACCCGGTACTTGCGATGGGTAGCTTGTGTTTTAAGTTTGCTTTGTCTTTCTGATATAGAAGACCCTACAATACGCAAATCCAACCAAGTGAGGATGGACTTTTGCGGACACACTCCCAGCTGTACTTATCTCCTTCCAGAACCACTCATCCTTTGGGTGCTTTGGGAACTGGTTCCTGGAACACCAAAACTCAATTCATATATGTGTGTGTGTGTGTATACATATGTGTGTGTGTATATATATATATATATATATATATATATATATTCACACATATATATATAGACATATATGTATACACACAGAAATATATATCCCAGACACCCATCTTCCCATACAAGAGGAATTTTACATTGTCTCTAGACCATCTAATATTTACTACAAGTGATGTAAACATGAATACTGTTTTGTTTTAAAAACTGAAAAGAAAAAAAAAAATCTGTATATATCCGGTTCACATGGCAACACAAAACAGAACGAAACAACTTTTTAGTGTTTTCAGTTCACAGTTCATTGAATCCAAGGATGTAGCCCCTGAGGATACACAAGGCCAAGTACAGTAAAGTAAATCCTGGTTAATTGTGTTTTCAGATTCTGTGGGGTTTTGTTTTGTTTGTTTGTTTTCTTTTTAAAATTTATTATGTATACAGTGTTGGATTTTTTGTGTTTTGTTTTATTTTGTTTGAGACAGGGTTTCTCTGTGTAGCCTTGAGTGCCCTGGACTCCCTTGGTAGACCAGGCTGGCCTCTGGCCTCAAACTCACAGGGATCCATCTGTCTCTGCCTCCCTGAGTGCTAGGATTACAGGTGTACACCACACCTGGCCAGACTCTGTATTTTTTTTAAAAATGGTGTTAAAACATATTGGAAACTTTATACAGATTTTAAAATCCTTGTACTCAACAGAACAATGTTAAAAAATAGCTTCCTGTTGGGCAATGGTGCCACAACTTTAATTCCAGCACTCAGGAGGGAAAGGCAGGTGGATCTCTTATGAATTCAAGGATAGCCTGGTCTACAGAGTGAATTCCAAGACAGCCAGGGCTACAGAGAGAAACCCTATGTTGGAAAAAGAAAAGAAAAGAAAAAGGGAAGAAGAAGAGGAAGAGGAGGAGGAAGGTTTCTTTATACTCTCTGTGTAACTACCCTTCCTAAAGTATCCACTGCTCTCATAGACATGCTGCATTTTCTGAGACTATGATGGTTCAAGGAAACGGGAGTAGCCTGATGATCTCAATTGTGTTTTTAAAACCTTGGTTTGGATTCTGGCTGTGAGAGAACCACCATCATTACTCACTAGTGACTGAAGCAAAGCGCCAGCCTTAAAATGGAACAGGGTTAGGGTGAGATTTACAACTCTTAGCTGTGTCTGGGACGTGAAAAGGCAGTCTTTCAGATCAGCGTTAGCTTGGTTCTCGTGCACCGATTACTACACTTTACATACATTCGAGTGCCTCGCAGGTGTAATTCCGAAAGCCAGAGGGGAAGCCTGGCACACAGCATTCTGAGCAGGAACTTAACGCGGATGACACAGTGAAGGTTGGATTTGACAACTGACCAAGTAATCACAACCTGCTCCATCTCATTCCTCGTGTGTGCCAGCAGGGGGAGCCAACCATCAAGCTGTTTAATGTACGCGGAGGGGAAGAAACAAAAACCCTCGTTCCGGCTTGATCAGGCTAGCGTTTGCCACGTCATTTGCAGATCTCTAACAACGGCAGGTCAGTGTGTTTGAAGACAATCTCATGTAGACACCAGTTTTAGGATCAAGCCGGAGATTTATTTCCTGGAGTTCAGTTCCTGTTTATTGCTCAATACTTCCTTTCGTTGCTCCGGTGAGACAGCAGTGTGATGAGATACACCTGGATCTAGCAGGTGGCCCGAAGAAACCTGACTTGCGAGAGCTGTCTTCTTTTTTCTAAGTTATTTTAAACTGCAGCATTAAAAATGTGTGCTTTAGGGCCACCAAAATGGCTCAGCAAGTAAAGATACCTGCTACCAAATCTGACCACACACCCACACACCCACACACACGCACGCACGCACACACATGCACAATTAATAATAACATGTAATTGACATTTTATTTGTCCTTTATACGTAGTAGGTTTGTAAAGCTCACATCAGCTCTTAATTTTCAGGTTAAAAGGTCTCAAGAAAAGACTATCTTGAAGACAGCTTCTTAACCATCAATTTCCAGATATCATCACCGACCCCCAACATACGGTGTACCCACATTTTCAGTCTTGGGTTTGGTTTAGTGTGTATGGCCAGATTTCCTCAGAACTGGGGAATCTTTGACATTATATATAAAATATTGAATGTACAGAAATAGGCTGGAAATGGGGGGAGGCTGTCAAGTTTTGATGAGCTTCTCAAAGGGAGAAGCTAAAAAGAAAAAAGGGAGAAGAGCTGCTTCTGGATTATGACTTAATCATTACCCATCATGGCTACAGACCACAGAGACCCTGGCAGCAGGGTTGTAAGAGACACACTGACAAGGAGTCATCGGCTTTCCCCCTTGCAACTATATCGTTCTTCAGCAAGTTACAGTCAGGAATAGGACTTAATATCATGACTTAATTTAGATGTGGCAAGATCCAAAACAGAACCACACACTATAGTCTTGAGAAATGACAATGGCCAAACAGACCCTGCCAGTCCAGTCCCGGTGGCCATTTCTGTCCCACACAGACCCCTAGTTACCTCAGACTGCACAAAGCTGACGGGAACTCGCTCATCTTCCAGCATGCGTCTAGACGCCTTTTGTAAATACATGTAATCGACGAGAGATTTATGGTCAAAGTTTCCTGTGGGGGCCTTATCGGTTTGATCTTTTTGGATCATGCCCACAGGAAGGTGGGGGTCGGGGGCCATGACCTCCATCTCCGACTGCAGTTCCTTCAGTTCTTCAGGGGACAAGTTGGCCAAGATTTCATCTTCATCAAGCTCCTCACTGAGGGTGTCTTCTTGATCAGAATTTCTGCTGTGCTCTGACATCGTTCACTTTTTTCCTATCTGCTTCTAGATCACCAGAGAAGAAGAAACGATCCGAGATGATTAAAAAGACCGAAAGAATCAGTACGCAAACCCCTCAATGTCTTCCAGTTAACCAGAATCTCAGGTCAAGCCACCCTTGAGAGATCCTCTCCCTCAATGGTGTTTGTTGAGCTGCTGGGAGTGACTGGGGTTCAGCTCATGTGGGATCTATATTAAGCAAGGTTTTCTGGGCAGGTTGTGGAACTACTACATGACTCCCTTTTCGGCAACTTGAGTCAGCTGTGCAAATCCGTCTGACATTTCAGTGCAGCTGCGGCGGCGGACAGCGAGTAGCCGGTCTAGGGAATCTCTGCAGGAATAAGTTGCATTCTTTTCTAATGCCCTCCTGTGGCTGTGTCCAGCCCCATGCAGCCTGCACCCATGTGCTCTAGATTTCAAGGCAGGGGGCGGGGGGGGGGGGGGGCTCTGCTGCTCATTTAAACAACTCACAAAACATGAGAGTGAAAATCCAGCCGGCAAATGCAGTTTCTCCTGGAATTAGGAAAAAAAAAAAAAAAAGTCCCTTAGAGGTGGAAGGTGAGCTCCCCAGCCTCGCTCTTGTCTCCAGCAGGCTCTGGAAGCCATCCACAGAAGAGAACAGCTCAGGTCTTGCTATGGTATTCAGCCCTGTGTAAGTGAAACTGTGCAAGCTGCTCTTTATCTGCATCGAGATCCTGTGACCTGACAGATGGGGATAACAAGCCCCTGAATTTCCATGTAAGGGAGGAGCTGAGCATTTATCTCCTTAGTAAGTGATCATCAAAGCTAGCTAAATTAAGATGGATCTGGATAGAATTTTTATTTTTTTCAATCGAACCATGGAAGTACTGGGATAAAGAAGTTGTGAAAAGATTTTTATTTATTTATTTATTTATTTTTGTAACCTGGAGGGAAGGACAATAATTTTTTCAAGTGCTTTTAGAGAGGGGCATGAGCAACAGAAAGAAGGACTGAGCTGAGGAAAAGACTACAGTACTATACAGCTTTTTCTGTTTGTTTGTTTTGGTTTTTTCTTTCTTTTTTCTTTTTTTTTTTTTTTTTTTTTTTTTTTGCTTTTTGTTTTTAAAGTCAGGGCTACTCTGTATAGCCCTGGCTGTCCTGAGACTCATTTTGTAGACCAGGCTGGCCTTGAACTCAGAGGTCTGCCTGCCTCTGCCTTCTGGAGTGCTGGGATTAAAGGCAATGTGCCACTACAGGCTAATTACTTTCAAACTTTGGATTTCACAACTCTGCACTCGGAAATACAGATATCTTTGTACAAACCTGAAGGGTGACACACAGAGCTAGAGAGAAAACAAATGTTTCACCTTATTTCTTTGTTGAGAGCAACTGTAAGGAACGCTCTTGCTTATTTCAGTCGTTTCTTTAGAAATAGGAACTCCATGCTACTGTGTCACCTTTGTAGCACTTTGGACACGGAACCCAGGGATTTGGTCCTAGAAGTCAGCCCTGCTCTTGGTGGCATCCCTAGCCCTGTGTTCTTTGGCTTATTGTTTGTTTCTGATATAGAGTTTTGTTATGTAGCTTCGGAACCTTGAACTTGCAGCTATGCTCTTGCCTCTGACACCCAAGTGTCATGATTACAGACATATTCCACCACACCCAGTCAGCAACCTGTGTTTTCTTGTTGATAAAATCAGATTACTTTTGAGGCAATCAGATATTCTGAAACCACATAATTTTAAAGATCTCCCTGTAAGGACCTTTTTAGTTCATAAAGCACCTAGTTCATGTAACCGATCCTTAATTTTTGCATATTAAGCTGTTTTCATTTCTCACGAGTACAAACAGTTCTTCAATGAACATCTTACCAGTCACATATTTTTATATACCCAAGTTTGTTTGCTCAGGCTAAATTGGTTAAGTTCTTAGAAATCAAATTGCGGGATCAAAGAACGTGAAAAACTAAATGTGTTTCATGTGAATGCCTAAGTGATCCTCTTAGTATTGTTGCAATATATCCCCAGCGTGGGTAAAATTATATACGTATATATATGTTACCATTCTTCTTACATATATATATATATATATATACATATACATATACATATATACATATACATACATATATACATATATGTATATGTGTACACACAAACACACACACACATTCCTTTATGTTCCAGAGTTCTGCATTCAGACTCAACAAATCAACAGATAGAAATATATTTAGAAAAAAAAAATTGCATCTGAAAAGATTGAATCTGTATGTGTTTTTTTGTTTTTGTTTTTGTTTTTTTTGCCTACTTCATTATCCCCCCAAACAGCACAGTCATATTTCAGGGACAGCCATAGAAACACGTAAGGAAAAACCAGAACAAGGAACAAAATATAGAACATTTAAAAAAAAATGCTTCCATATGTAAAAGGAATTTTTATCTGCCTGTTTCAGTTGTTGTTTCGGAGGCTTATCACCTCTGTCTGCTAACCTACGTTTAGTCCTGGTAGCTTGTAGCCTCAGTACACCGTAACCTAGATGTTTTCAGCCTTTGAGACTTACTGCTGAATAAGCTCACCCTTTCTTGTTCTTACTAAGCTCTGGGCTGGCTGGTTCAACTCAGCAGTTCTGGCTCAAACTCCTCCCCCAGCTGACTTAGTCAATTTGGTTTCTTTCTCAGCCCCTGAAATGCTCTGCTTGGCCCCCAACGAACTCCAGCAATCTGCTCTAATCTACTGGCTCCTTCGGTCTTCACCTGAGTTCTCTTTCTGCAACCTGTGTTTCTATTATTGTCCCAGTAAAACTTCTTACTCTCTCTCTGCATTGCCCCTTATGGAGCTTCCCTTTCCTCTCCAAGTGTGAGTTCGGCATATCCTATTCTGTCAAGTCTTTCACTGATTTGTCACTGTTTCTGCCACTCAATTAAGCATCACTTTCAAACATGGGTGTTTCCTTCTTCAAACTAGCTTTACCTTCATTGTTTGAGATTAAAGGCATGTACCACCCTGCCTGGGTCAATGCTTTCCTTCACCTGTACCAGCTCTGTACCAGGCTGCCCTTGAACTCAGATCTGCTAGCCTCTGTCTCCTGGATTAAAGGCATGTTTGCATTCCAGCTGGATCACACAGACCTAGACGATCTTTGGATGTGTTCTCTTGTGAGAACAGCCACGTTCTAAATTAAAATTCCTCTACATCCACAAGAGAAACCATTACATCAATGGCCTTGAACAAAAAGAGGCTTTAAAAATCTTGGCCATTGTATAGAAAGCAGCCAAAAAAAGCCTTTGAGATGGAGTTGCCTATAAGGAACACAGAAGCCTAGCACTGAAATGTAAATATGAAATCCTCCGAAGAAAGATGACCTGAAATCTTTCAGATTATCATTTGGTCCTCACGAACGCTGCTTGCTTCCACATGCCCAGAGGATGCCTGTGATGATCAAGCTGATTGAGGTTGCTACAAGGAGCACAGCACAGCACCTGCCAGGAGCAGGAAGTGGGTAAACCTCTCCCCCTGCTTCCCAGAGCGCCTTACCCTCCTGCTGACAGGAAGGGGTTTTTTGGGTCTAATTAGTCTGACACTGAGATGAGTTAGCTGTCTTTGCTCTTCATGGTGATTTACAGCGGCCATGTCAGCAGCTTCCCACATCAGCATCCAACATGTAGGTACCTGTACGGACATCACCTGCATGACTGAACAGATCACAGATCAACTAACCCTGGATCAGAGTCTAGAGGAAGAAATGAAATTGACTTCCTTCTGGAAGCTACTGAATCAGAATTCTCAAAGTCCGGTCTTGTTATCTGTGCTTTTTATGAACATTCTCTGGTTATTCTGATGCATAAATCTAGACCATCTCAAGATTTTACCTGCCTCAAAAGACATGCTGTTCCCACTGCTCTTTGAAGGCCTGTCCTCATCTCTCAGATTTGAGAGATCTGCCATCAGAAATGATTGACACTTCCCTGCATTTGGTAATCCCAGGGCCAAGGCCAAGTGCTCATCTGATAGGCCAGGCTCACATAGTTGAAGACCCAGTGTTTGCTGGGGACCTGTTTTTGCGCACACTATGTTAGGTAGCCAGGAAGGTGGGAGTCAAGGCAGAGCATAATGTTCTAGTGAGGGAGACACTGTCAATCATTTCTGGTGGCATGACAAGGCCAAGGAAGATGGGCCTTTGCTGTGTGGAGAATGATTGCACCTAGGATGGGGACGACTGAGAGATGAATGCAGACCCGTGAAAGACAGCGAAGCAGCACACGCAAAGTTGGGCAGGACAAATCTTAGGTGACCTAATCGTCATGTGACTGGCCACTGTTGGGCATGGAGGACTTGGAGCAGGGAGGAAGGCAGGGCCAGGCAGGGCATTGTCTACGGCCAGGGCTGAGTTGTTTATTCTAAGTGTCATTGGGAACGAGCAGAGGGTTTCCTGTGGATCATACCATGGTTTATGTTTTCAGAAGGCCACTTTGGCTACTGCTTAGAAAGCAGATTGGACAAATGAGAGGACAGGCAAGAACAAAACCAGGAGATGAGCAGAGACACTTGCCTTCACATGGCCTTAGGAAGGAATGTATGTCAGCGTTTAGGAGGTGTTGGGGTCTTGGGCCTCTTCCTGTGTCAGCTGTAAATAAAGCTTTAAAAGTTTCGTCTTAGAGTGCTGATCTTCAGTGACTGCAGCATTTTGCTATATGCCCTGTACTCCCACCTCCATCCCCAATTCCCCCAAACCCTACCTCCCCTCCCACAAAAGAGGGGCCAAAGAGGGAGAGATTAAGGGAGGGATAGGGGAGAAGAGGGAAACTAGAACAGGAAGTGAGGGAGGGAAAATGATGCCAAAGAAAACCAATTGCTATCTAGTCTACATCTGAGATGGTCTAACAAATGGGGGAAAGTGTTAAATACATGGCAACTTATCACTGTAAGTGTTAATATACATAACATTTGTGTGGGAAGCACAGATTTGTGTGTGAACGGTGCCCAGTATAACACACACACACATACACACACACACACACACA